TGGATGGGTGGTTCAAGTGGATCATTGATTCAAATCGAGTTTTCAATACAAACAATTATGTGGGGTAATCCGAATAAAAAATTGGGTTGGTCGACAGGTCAACTAGTCAAATTATTCGATTTTCAAAACTATAGTTGGAACAAATGGAGTTAAGGAATGTCTAATGTCTAATTTATGTTAATTACCCAAGGGTGTGTTTGTTTGGACAGACTGGATAAGGGGGGATTGTAATCCATCGGACTGTTAGTCCCGAGACACATTGTCCCCGGACTATTTGGTTGAATTGGATTTGTATCCTATGTTTGTTTAGTCATGAGATTAGATGTCTGGATTTGACAATTTTTAGTGAATCCAATGTTTGGTCGGACTATTTGGTTGAATTGGATTTGTATCCTATGTTTGTTTAGTCATGAGATTAGATGTCTGGATTGGACAATTTTTAGTGAATCCAATGTTTGGTTAGACGGACTAGATAAGGATAAATGTTAAAAAGACTATTTTACCCTTGTAATTTATAATTTTTATTTAATAGGGGAGATGTGAGAAGGGGCATCACCCTGGGGAGGCACCAAACTGAGCTCTCTCCATAGAGAGGAAGCTTGACCAATAACGTGTAGAGGATTCACAGAGGTTTGGTTGAACACCCACTCATTGCGCTCTTTCCAGATAAACCATCCCACCGTGGCTGCCTTACTGATCATGGCTTTCCTGTCCCTGAGATTCAAACTGTGTTCAATGATGGATTGGGTCCAAGTCCTCGCTGAAGAGTTAAAGCCCTGTCTTGTGAGGAGGCCCAGATCACACCCAAACCAAACCGTTCAAGTCCAAGCACAGTGAAAAAGAAGGTGTTCAACATATTCTAAGTCAGCACCACAGATAGAACAACCCCGGGATAAGGCACACTGTCGATGGAACAGGTTTTCTTTGGTGGCGAGCTTATTGCAGCACACTCTCCACCAAAAGTTACGAATCTTGAGCGGAATAGGGAGCCCCCAGATAATTTTCTAGGAATCCTTGTGAACTATGGCTAAAGAAGAGGCAGTATGTGAGTTGGAGTGTTGTTCTCCAACCGCAATCTGATAACCACTCCGAACTTTATACATCCCAGATTTAGTGTAATGCCAAACAAGGGAATCATCTAGGTCTTCCAAAGAAATAGGTATTGTTTCAATGGCATGCAAGTCATCTGTTCGCAGCAGGTTGCGAAGAGCGAGGTGATCCCATTCTTTTCGGTGTGGGTTGATCAGATCTTTCACAAACTGAATGTGACAGCCAACTGGCTTTGGAGTTTCAACTTTGAAGCTGTGAGATTGGGGCACCCACTTTTCATCCCAAAAATGTATTGACTTGCCATTCCCAACTTGCCAACGCAACCCCTTGTCAAGAAGGTCACGACCTTTAAGAAAGCTGGCCCAAGCCCAGGAAGGCCTTCGTCCCCTAGACGCATCTTGAAAATCGGAGTGAGGATGATAAACTACACTCTTTAAAGGGTGTGTACCGTATCCATCTTATAATTAAAAAAGAAAATTATATAATTTCATATTTTTTTCGACATAACTAAAAATATAAATAAAAAAATAAAATCATAACCAAACAACAGATAACATAACCAAAGATCTCATGAGTCCTAACTAAAGAATAAAATGTCATAATTTAGGATGCATAGGGTAGAATGTGTATATAGTAAAATTTCCCATATTTCTTTCTTTTCTGCTTTTCTTTTTTTTTTTTTTGACAAATCCAAGCACAATTTTTTTTTCTCAATGTACCCTTTTTATCGAACAAATTTTTATTGAGATCATCACATGTGATAAGTGCTTGAATCTTTGAACTAATGTTTTGAAAATCAGATCGGTGAGCGAACCGAAAAAGTGATTGGGTGAATGAGTCACTGTTCAACTGTGAGTTAACTAGAATCAAATTGTGATGTCATATAATTTTATAATATATTTGTAAAAAAAATTAAGTTCAAGGGAAAAAAAAGTATATATATTAAATAAACGAACTAAAAACAAACTTATAATGCAATTGTTTTAGGTCTCGTTTGGGAACATGCTTTTTTAGTAATTTTTTAAATTTTTGGCTAAAATATAATGTAAAAAAAACTAGTATGTTTGGGATGACTTTTTGACTTTTTACGAAAAGATGTACAAAAAGTAGAGAAAAAATATAACTTTGACTTTTTGATATAGGTTATTGACTTTTTGACTTTTTTAGTAACTTTTTAATTTTTTAACTAAAAAAGCCACTTGCCAAACGAGCCCTTAGTATTAAAAGCAATAGATGCATGAATAGCTTGGTGGTTGGCATTTATAATACATTGTAAAAGGTTGGAGGTTCGAATCCTTCTACTACCATCAATAATGTTTTGGAATATTGCTGTCAACCCAACGGTTTAATGGATGGGTGGTTCAAGTGGATCATTGATTCAAATCGAGTTTTCAATACAAACAATTATGTGGGGTAATCCGAATAAAAAATTGGGTTGGTCGACAGGTCAACTAGTCAAATTATTCGATTTTCAAAACTATAGTTGGAACAAATGGAGTTAAGGAATGTCTAATGTCTAATTTATGTTAATTACCCAAGGGTCTGTTTGTTTGGACAGACTGGATAAGAGGGGATTGTAATCCATCGGACTGTTAGTCCCGGGATACATTGTCCCCGGACTATTTGGTTGAATTGGATTTGTATCCTATGTTTGTTTAGTCATGAGATTAGATGTCTGGATTGGACAAGTTTTAGTGAATCCAATGTTTGGTTAGACGGACTAGATAAGGATAAATGTTCAAAAGACTAGTTTACCCTTGTAATTTATAATTTTTATTTAATATATAATTTTAAATTAACAACACTAAAAAAATAATTTATAAATGTTCAAAAGACTATTTTATCCTTTTTTAATTGTTTGTTAAGTAATAGCATTGGAGTAATATGGACATTTCAGAGCCTAATTACATGGGATACCAATCCCATGGAAATAATCCCCCCCTCCCCCCAAATGGGATATGATAGTCCCATAAATATGGGACTAATAGTCCAGTGAGACTAATAGTCCGGAGCAAAAAAATTGAAACAAACAATGGACGATTAGTCTGGTGGGACTAATAGTCCAATCCCACACCCTAATCTTTCAAAACAAACACGCCCTAATTTAATGGCATATGATAGCTCAATGTCATAAATGCTAGGGTAGAAGATGGCTTAGTACCCTAACTGTGTGTGCTGTTTTTTTACCACACTGCCAAACAGGTACTCAGCTGGAGAACACCGGCAGAATAGATTGTGCTTGAACGACCTGTCATAGCAAGAAAAGACTCCGGCGGTGGTTCTTCTATCCGGGGGCACTCTGACAATCAAGTCAGTAATCAATATCTCTCAAAGATAACCAAATTGTGCCTAATTCACAAGTCAGAATACAAAAAGCATACCTTAGACCCACGAGGGTGCCTTACTTTTATTGCAATCACTAACCTGATCCCTATAGAAGCCTAGCTTCAATAGACTCTGGCTCAATGCTTATCTTGGACTCTTCAATAGATAAAGATAAACTCCCTAAGAGTTTTTCCTTATCCAGGCTGAGGTCCTCCCTCATTCTAGGACTCTTGTTCCCTATCCGTTCATTTCGGATTTCGGTATCTTCGCAGGTAACCTCGGCCTAGCTGAGATCACCTCGGCGTCATGACTAGGACACGTGGCACTTCGGCTGGCACTTTGGTGCCATCTTGGCCACGTGTTGTCATTCAAGAAATATGTCCCCACAACTGCCCCCTAGGTTCTATTACCTCGGCATATCCTGAGGCGATGGAACCTTAACCTTTCGACCATATAGCACGTCAGCTAAGCTTGCTCTACCCTTTATTACCGAGGTTATCACCCATCGACGTCCATATGATAAACACTTCAGTGTGTTTGCATCAATGCTTTAGAACCAAGAACCAAGTTTTTTCAAGTTCCCTAGCCGAGATCGTCCCCCTAGCCGAGGTCTTTGCGTCATTAAATCAAGAACTCTAAGAGTTTTTAAACGCGTATGAGCTGTCACGCACAGTAATTCAACCGTTTTTGCCATGCGTCTTTTCCCCGTTGAACCGTACTTGACACGCGCCATTAAGTTGCATCGCTTTTGCGTGCGCTGTCTAACAAGCACGTCGTCCTAGGCACACTAATTATGATTTGCCGCCTTTTCGTGTTTTGACAAAAACATTTCCCTCTCTCTTCGTCTTTTCACTTCACATTTTTTGATTTCTCTCCGTGCTTCAAGCTTTTCTCTCTCTAAACCACCATTGTCATCTTCCCAAAGCTTTTTGTAACCACTTCCGTTCACCTCCTCTGGCGAAGCTTTTGCTGCTCTTTTCCGCTCTCTGCCACTGGCTTACCCCAGTGTTCTCTACACCGGCCTCCATTTCTTTGGTAAGTTAGTATTCCCCCTTGTTTCAATTCCTTGTTTTACTTCAAATTTTACTATGCTTGTGTACTGCCACTGCAAATCTGTTCATGCTGTTAAATAATCATTTGTGTGTTGAATTCTACCATTCGTTATCTGTTTCATGATTATATCTTTGTACAATCTGTTGCTGGTATACACACACATATACACACATGTTGACGTTCTTGATAGCTTGTCACTGTTCTTGATTTTGCTTTCTGGGTTCTGAACCAAACACATACTCGTTATTCTGCCACTGAACTTGGCTTTGTATATCTGTACTTCTATCATTAAAATGTTCTTGAATTTCTTGATCTGTCTTCTTGAGTCTGAATCATGTTTTTGTTTCTATTTTCTTATTGCATTTTGCCAGATTCTTGTCTTCAATTTCCTATTTTCACATAATTTTTAGGCTTAAGTTTTGATAGAAGCCACTATCCCTAGGAAAATTAGAACAAATTTCCCTAGATCTTAAAAAGTCTTTGCCCTTGTTTCTGTTCTGAGTTTAAGCCGAGGTCCCTCAAACCTTAACAATCCACTCCCTTCTGAAACACCTTCCCATTTAACCGACGTTATGGGTATGTTCAGGTGGGGGTAGACACCCCAACTAAGCTAGTATACTTTAGGCAGGAGTTTGCCATCTCTGCCGACGTTCACCTCAGGTTAGCTGGAGAGGAGGACTCCATTATGCCCAAAGGCGACTCTATGCCATTCCCAGTAGTGGCCTTCATAGAGTGTGGACTTAGGTTCCCTCTTAACATCCTTTTCCAAGAAATCCTTCACTACTATAACCTCAGCTCAATGCAGCTTGCCATTAACTCTTACGGAGTTATCAATGGTATAATTGCCTTAGCCAAAAAAGAGAACGCTAGGGTTACCCTTGCTGACATCCAATATTGTTACACCATGTGCTGCCTGAAGTCAGAAAAAGGGCTATATCTATTACCTTAAGCCGAGATCCACGGAATACAAACTTGTCGCCAACCTCCCAGACCCCAACAAGGGTGCTGGAGACGATTACTTCGTCGTCTCGGGCAACTGGGAGTTCCCGCTAGATGATGACCTTCACCTCTATCCCCTAAGCCGAACAGTTTTCAAAGAGGGAGATGATAAGAGCCAAGTGTCACATTTACTTGCTTTCAAGTCTTTCTTACTTTGATATTTTTGTATGCTCTAACCTCTGTTTGTTTTATTTTGCAGTGCTTCCTCAACCACCCAAGGACTTTCGCAAATCCTTCTATCCCAACAAGGATTTCAAGAAGTTGTTGGGTTTGCCAGTTGACCAACAGAAAGCACCTCTGCTGCTCAACTACATCCCAACCTACAAGTCCACTTTGCCCAACGTCCCGAAGAAGAGCAAGTCCTCTCCCTCTGTTACAACTCCCGCTACAACTTCGTCACCTCGGCCTGATCAGGGATCAACCTCTGCTCCAGCAGAATAGCCATCTACTTCAGCTCCACAACTGATTCCACCTTCTCAACGCCAACGCCGACATCGAGCTCCACTGCTCGCACCAGCAGGCAGGACTTAAAGCCGAAGACGCCGAAATGCTGAGGCATTGTCTTTGGACCAATCAAATCCACCAACAGCTGTACCAACAATCCGTCTTGGCACTAAAGTTACCGTTGCCATCTCCTCTGACAAAATAGGGTGACAAAAGGCCGTTGCTGAAGACCTTCTTGCTGATATCCCCAATGTCGTCGCAGTTCAATCTTTTCAGTCTCAACCCAAGCCGAAACCAGAGAGGCTGAAGAAAGCCCAAGCCAAGGCAACGGTGACTCAAATCAACTTTGAGGACACCTTGCCAATCTAAAAAATGGCTGAGGCAGAAAAAAGCACCTCTGCTGCCGAAAAGAGGCCTGCAGAGGCTGCTCTCTCAGAATCCACCCGATCAAAAAAGCCGAGGTCAGAGTCTGTTATAACCTTGGGGTCCCTGAAGTCCGATGCCCCCTGGCCCCTCAAATCACCATCGAGGACAAGCCAGTCAGAGTTGGCGACAGCGCGACTAACATTGAAGTCGGCGTTGCCCTCTCCACTGCCTTACTCCTTCCCAAAAACCTTGAACGCAATGCCGAGGTCAGCGAATACGAAAATTTCGCTCTACAATTATAGCACTCCGTACAAGTAAGCCCCTAATACTTGTTACTTTCTGTTTTTTCCATACTTAGAGAGTTTTACTAACTTCTGTTTTTTTTTTCTTTCTATTTCTTGTAGGCGATCCAGCACGCCCACTTCTTCACAATGCAAGCCTTCGACATTAAGAAGGAGTTGACCCGCAAGACGAAGGAGGTTGCCGGTTTGCTCAAGACCATCAATAAAGCCGAGGCCAAGATGAAGACGTTAATAGATCAGACCAACACATCCAAACAAGCCCAAGACGAGGCTAAGGAAAGAGCGGGGGTTGTTGTGGCTATCGTTGAGGTCCTCAGGGCTGAAAAGATAGAGGTCGAAGAAAAAATTGCCGAAGCCCAAGCCAAGCTCATCGCTGACTTGGCCACAAAGGACGCTGAGATCAAAGCGGCGGACGAGAAGGCCTACGCCGAGAGGGCAGCCGACGTCCGTGAGGACTATAAGAAGCAGGTCAAAAAGGCATGCAACAAGGGTTACTCCCTTGGCCGGATGACTGCTTTAAAGAATTGGTTGTTCCCGAGGATTCACCTCTCCATGATGATAGCCGCATTGTCTTGTCATTCCCACCCACTCCAAGCCAATCCGAGGACGAAGTTGAGTTTGAAGAGGAGGCCTAGGCCAAAGAGACTGAGGAAACCGAAGCTGCTAGGGCCAAGTCCCCAACTCTGAATGAGCAAGTTTTACACTTGACTCAAGATGAGGAGGACGAGGTCCAAAAAACCACTTCTGAGGTTGAGGTCGAGACTTCTAACAAGAGCCTGGATGATATGCTGCGTGAAATCGATGCCGAGGTCCAAGCTGAAAAATCTGCCCGGCTGTCTGCCGAGGCTGACATAACGCCAATTGCTGAGGCAGGGCAGATTGTGGAAAATGCATAAACTTTAGTTTTTCCTCCTTTTAGTACTTGCTCTCTTTTTTACTTTTGGACAGCTGTAAATCTCTTTGTTTTGAACAATGTTAACTTTGTATTTGGCCGATGTGTCTTTTTTTGTGTTCTGAACAAGTAATCCTCTGTAAGTCGAAGTTCCTTGTTTCCTTTGGAATGCAAGTCTTCTTTTATTTTGACTAAGTCTTTGAATGCTTGTCTTTCCTTTACTGTCTTGTATATGATTCCATACTTAAAATAATTTGCATGTCTTCAAGGTACACCTTAACTGTGCAATTTCCTCGGGATAAAAATACTTCGGATATACCAGCTGAATGTTTATCTCGGCCTTGTCTTAACACTTAAAAAACATTGTAAGAAAGTTTTCACAAGTGTTTAGCTAAAACTTACCACTTCACTTTCAGTTATCAGGACTTCTGTCTTCCATTATTCTCCAAGTCTTGGCAACATGGTAATCTCGGCAAGTACATAGATACTTCTTTCAACATAACTTTGGCTTAACTTCAACTTGTAAATCTTTCTTAAAATTTCAACAAATGTAAAACCAATTTTCCTTCAACATAAACTCGGTTGAATTTCAACTTGTAAATTTTTCTTAAAATTTCAACAAGTGTTAAACCAACTTTAGCTTGTAAATTCCAACTTCCAAGCATTATTCTCCAACTCCCTGCCCCCTAGTGTGAACTTAAGTTTTACTTATGTTCACATTAAGTATGTACCTATGATTTTGTCGCCGAGATCAGATTCAAACAGAGACTGACCGAGGTTATCAACCTCGGTCTCTGTTAATCTAACTGTTATGTATTTTAGTGTCATTCAAAGTTTTCATTCTGTCGATACAACAAATCTAGGTTAATTCAACTTAGTTCAACTTGATTATATGCAAGTATAATTCAACTCTGTCATATAACAAGTCTAAGTTATTCGTCATGTTTCAATCAGAAACATCGACAACTTAGTTCAACTCTATTATATGCAAGTATAATTCAACTCTGCCATATAATAATTCTAAGTTATTCGTCATATTTCAATCAGAAACATCGCTAAGTGACTGGTCAATCGTTTTACACAAGTTTGAAAAAATCGAGCTAAAATTTTACTAATTACTTCGGCTAATAACAGAAAACTTAAAAAACCAAAAGAAATCTTAATGATAGAAAAATTTCAGATTGCAAGTATTCCAAGGTCTTGGCAATTCTTTACCTTCACTATCTTCAAGTCGATATGCCCCATTACCCAGGACCGAGATGATTCTAAAAGGTCCTTCCCAATTTGGGCCAAGCTTGCCCTCTCTAAGATCCTTCTTGTTTCCGACGACCTTTTTTCAGGACGAGATCCCCAACTTGAAACTCTCGTGGGTTGACCTTTTTATTGTAAGCCCTAGCAAGCTGCTGCTGGTATGCCCCTAGTTGGATTGCTACTTTCTCCCTTCTTTCTTCCAATAGATCCAGATCTCGGGCCAAAAATGCCTCATTGGTGCCATTTTGTACTCCTTGGGTTCTGATCCCTAGGATGCCGACCTCCAGTGGAATTACTGCTTCTGTGCCATAAGCCATGGCAAATGGGGACTCCCCAGTTGATCTTCTCAGCGTAATCTGATATGTCTAGAGTACACTGGGCAACTCATCTACCCACTTACCCTTTGCTGCTTCCAGTCTCTTCTTAATCCCATCCAGGATAACCTTATTGGATGCTTCTGCTTGACCATTACTCTGAGGGAAGCTTGGAGTAGAGTAATAATTATTGATTTTGTACTTTGCACAAAAGCCCTTGATTAGCTTATTGTCAAACTGCGTACTATTGTCTGCTATTATTTCCCTTTGGATCCCAAACCTGGTGATGATGTTTTTCCATATAAAGTTTTTTACATTAATGTCTCGAATCTTTGCAAAGGGTTCAACTTCAACCCACTTGGTAAAGTAATCTGTTGCCACTAGTAGGAACTTCCTTTGTCTAGTTGCTTGAGGCAGTTGTCCAACAAGGTCCATGCTTCATTGGGCAAATGGCCAAGAGCTGGACATTGGATTCAGATCCGCTGCTGGTTGGTGTATCAAAGGTGTAAACCTTTGACGCTTCTCGCACTTTCTGACATAAGCTTCAGCATCTTTCTGCATGTAAGGCCACCAGTACCCCTGAGTGATGGCCCTATAAGCAAGTGACCTGCCCCCAATATGGCTTCTATATATTCCTTCATGTATTTCATATAAAAAGTCTTCAACTTGTGAAGGATGCACATACCTCAAAAGGGGACTAGTAAAAGATCAGTCTGATCTTATGTGCTTTTTTATGATCATCTGGCAGTTTCCCCTCCTTAAGGAATACTATTATTGCATCCATCTAGCTTGGTCCCATCTCCACACACATTGCTTCATGCTCTGTGTTCAGTGGTTCTACACTTGGACCTGATAAGTAGTCAACCATTATTGCCCTTACCTCTCCTAGTTTCATTGCACTAGCCAAGTTGGCCAAGGCATCGACATGGTTGTTGTTATCTCGGCTGACTTGCTGTAGTCGGCAATTTTGGAACAATGCCATCAGTCTGCTCACCTCCTTTACATAGGCCATCATCCTTTCATCTCGAGCTGCATAGTTGCCTGTTCCCTGGTTGACGATAAGCTGGGAGTCACAGAAGACCATTACCTCATCGGCTTCTATTGATGCTGCCAACTTTAATCCTGCGATCAATGTTTCATACTCTGCTTCATTGTTTAAGGCCTTAAACTCCAAATGAATGGATTGTTCCAGCATCTTCCCATCTAGTGATACTAGCACTATTTTTGCCCCCACTCCTTGTCAGTTTGAACTTCCATCAACAAACAGGCGGAAGGAGTTGCCGACGTAAATATTACAGGGCTTGAGTTTATCTTCTTTCCTCTATTCTGCTATCCCCAGGTGGGTTTTTCTTTGTTCACCTGGACATCATGTACCTCGACTTAACGGAGCCCGATGTATGATGGCGTCTGGTGTGAACTTGGCCTTTGATTGCTGTTCTGGGTCTAAATTCCAGGTCATATTGACCTAACACCACTGCTCATCTGGCTATCCTGCCTGTCAGATCTCTTTGCTGCAACAGGGACTTCAGAGGATGCTCAATTAATACCACAATCTTGTGGGCTTAAAAGTAATGATTCAGCTTCTTGGAGGCCATTACCAAAGCTAGTGTTAGCATTTCCAAAGGTAAATATCTGGTCTCTGCATCTGCTAGGGTTTTACTCACGTAGTAAACTGCCATTTGTTCTTCTTTATCTTCCCTGATTATTACTGCACTTACTGCATACTCTGAGACCGCCAAGTATAAGAACAGTTTCTCTCCAGTTACTGGATTTGAGAGAATTGGAGCTGTAGTTAAGTATTTTTTCAAGTCAGCCAAGGCGACTTCGCACTCCTCTGTCCATAAGAAGTCTATAGCTTTCTTTACTAAACTGAAGAAAGGTTTGCATTTATTAGAACTTGTGCTTATGAATCTATTTAGGGTTGCAGCCCTTCTAGTCAACATCTGCACTTGTTTTGTTGATGTTAGGCTCTTTAACTCCAAGATGGCCTTAATTTGATCCGGGCTTGCCTCAATGCCTTTCCTGGTGACCAAGTATCCCAGGAATTTCCCTGACCCGACTCCAAATGCATACTTCGATGCATTGAGTCGGAGCCGAAATGTCCTCAAGATGTCAAAGACTGTCTTTAGGTCGGCCAAATGATCTTCAGGTTCCTTGGTCTTCACAACCAGGTCATCAATGTATACCTCCACTGTTTTGCCTATTAGATGTCTGAACATCTTAGTCATCAATCTCTAGTAAGTTGCTCCTGCATTTTTCAACCCAAAATGCATCATTCTGCAGCAATACAACCTTTTTGGTGTGATAAATGCAATCTTCTCCTCATCTGAGGGATACATGGCTATCTGATGGTACCCCCTGTAAGCGTCTAGGAAGCTCATCCTTCCATGCCCTGAAGTGGCATCCACCAATTGGTCAATCTTGGGTAGTGGAAAATTGTCTTTGGGACAAGCCTTGTTCAGGCTAGTGAAGTCCACGCAGACCCTCCACTTCCCATTCTTTTTCTTCACAACAACCGTGTTTGATAACCATGTCGGGTAGTTTACCTCTTATATGGCTCTGGCCTCCAAACGTTTATCCACTTCCTGTTCTACTGCCTCAACATGCATCAACGTCGGCCTTCTTGCTCGCTGGATGACAGGTTTAGCCGACCTGTCCATATTCAATTTATGGCAAGTGACCTCGGGGTCAATGTCAGGCATCTCGTACGGTGTCCAAGCAAACACCTCAAGGTTTGCTCTCAAGAATTCTTCTAATTCCTTTTCCTCTTCCTCGGCCAATTCTGAGCCGAGAAAGAAGAAGCGTTCTTCATCTCCTTGCTGGACTAAGATCTTCTTCAGGGCTTCCTCACTTTTCTCGGCTGGTTCTTTGCCGACGTCCTCAAGGACTTCCATGTCCTTATCCTCAATCTCCGCAGCTTCTGTCTCTCGTATATTGTAGGTGGATTTTATTGCTGCTATGGTGTAATTCTTTGCCTACACCTGATCCCCTCTGACCTCCTCAATTCCATGCTCTGTTGGGAATCGCAACAGCTGGTGCAATGTTGAGAGAACAGCCCCCATTGCATGCTACCATGGCCTTCCCAGGATAGTATTGTAAAGGGGGGGAGTGTCAATTATTGTGAACTCAGTTTTTACCTTCTTGGTGCCTGCCTGCACCTCCAAACTTCTGCTCCCAAGGGCCACGTCGGCGTTTCATTAAACCCGACCATTGGACCATTGGATTGTTCTAGATCATCTTGGTGAAGGCCAAGCTCCTTGTAACATCTGACATACATGATGTCACAAGAGCTGCCCTGGTCGATCAGTATTCGCTTTACCTGGCATTCTCCAATCTGGAGGGATATTACCAAGGCATCGTTGTGTGGATGCTGTACCATCTCTAGGTCATCTTCAGTAAAGGACACCACTGGTCCCTGGCATCCGTCTGCCCTAGGTCT